CCACTAAACACCACGCAGCTGCTGGCTCACTCTCCCCCACCCCTGGGGGATGGGGAGGAGAATCAAAGGGGAAAAGGGAAGGAGCCTCATGGGTCAAGATTAGAACCCTTTAAATAACTGAAATAAAATTAAAAGTAATAATGATTAAAATATAATAAATATCATATGTATATATATATATAAACGATAATAATATATACAAAGAAGTGATGCACAGTGTTCACCACCTGCTAACCAATGCCCATCCCATCCTGGCTACTGATCTCGAAACAGAGAAGTCCCAAAACTGCATCCCAGAAGAGTGAGAGCTTGAAAAAGAGCGATCCAAAGAGAGTAAGAGTAAGCCAAAGGTCCTTGATGGCATAACATCAACTAAAAACACCAGTGTGTTATCAACATTCTTCTCACAACAAATCCCATACTAAATCCAAAACACAGTGCTGCTCTAGCTACTAAGAAGAAAACTATCTCTGTCCCCGCTGAAACCAGGGCAATAGGCTATGCGAAACTTAAGGTCCTTTCTTTTCCTTCACCCTTCCTTCAAAGGCTTTTTTTTTTTTTTTTTTTTTGGCATTCTGGATGCTTTAATATATCAAAATACTTAAAGGGATGTAGCAATGACAGTATGGTCTACATGAAAACCAGTTCAGTTTTTATTTATGTACATGAAGAAAAGAAAGATTAATAGAGTAATCTTAAAAGAATCAGTTTTTTAAAAAAGCTTACTACAGCTACAGTCATTATCCTGCTCCTGCAGCAAGACAGGGACAGGCACAAATTAAAGTCAGGTAGAAAAGGTCTCCAAGTCACAGCAGAAAAGAGAGAATGAGCTTGGTTCTGTCCTATTGGGAATGGGCGTGAAGCACTAAAGTGCTAGAACAGACAAGGCTGGCATCAATCCTTGTAAAGATAGTTTGCTGCCAGAGGGGCTGAGAGCTCCCAGTGCAAGGGAACACCACAGACAGCCACACTGGGGAGAATCACCAAATTCTGAAGCTGTTACTGAGTCGAATATAATTCCTTCCTGTAAGTAGCCAAATAGGGGCAACAGAGGCATCATCGTCCCATGTGATGACATCCAGAACCATCTAATTTACATTCTTCCAGGATAAGGAATAATCACACGAATAAGCATGATCTTTGCTGTGCAATATCACAGCACCCATGCTGTTCGTGTTCATGCACCTACTAGCCTATACCAAATCACTGAAAACAGAGGAAGGGTGCATGCTATAGCAAAGTTAAGCTTGTCAGGCATTCCCTGAAATAAAGGTCTTCAGTAGGAGGTTTTCAACCTCACTGAAGCACAAATTCAAAGCCGGAAATTTCATATGTGCTTAAAGCAAGTTAGGCTAAGATGTGTGATGTAGCAAAAAAAAAAAAGAAAAAGTATACTATTAATATAATTTATTTAAACCATGTTAGAAGCAAATCAGTATCTCTTAATAATGCTGATCTGATGTCAGGAGGCAAAGTACTGAAAATGAACAGCTTTTGGGACATACTTACCTCTTTCTGTCTTTCAACACTACTAAGTCATGCCTGTCAAGTTTTATTCCTACCACATAAACTTTCTTCTAAAGGAGCTTGCATTTCTCACTTCTGTGGGAATGCAAGGATTGCACCATGTAGCAGATAGTAATAAACAGTCCCAGAAAAGGACATCACTAAGCCTCCAGAGAGGTTTTAGTTATCCCTTCAGAAAATTTGTCAATGTAATATGCAAATTAGTAATGGATGTCTTTCAAAATTTGCAGAGTCCAACAGAGGAGGATTGGCTTTATCTGTGTTCAGCCGAAGGAATCAGTTTGTGACAAACAAAACTTTACAGCCAGCAAACACGTCTCACGTGCAGACAACAGAGTAAGAGTAACACTACTGAATAGATGGAGATATTATTAGTGTGAAGCAGACACCAACTTAATCCCTACCAAAGATACGCGTCCCTCTGGCAACATGTTAAATACAGACCACTAAGAACTGTAACAGACATCTCTCCAGAGTTTAAAGTACCACTGAAAGAAAAATACGACAAAATAATCTATCAGCTGAGTAAGGACACACATTTTGCTGCCAGGAAAAAAAAGAAACGTGTGAAAACATAGCATGATCTACAGCATCTGAGGTTGGATCCAATGCCCAGCGACTTCAGTGAGAGTCTCTGCAATGATCTGAGAAAGCTCTGATAAATGACCTGCATCCACTAAGTACAAAACCATCTGACTATTTGATATTTGTATTTAGGTAACTGACTGTCCTCTGTGGCTCTTACTGCATTAATATCCAAGTGCATTCACTACTCCAGCATGTCAAATGAGGATGCTTACTCATTTGAAGAATTAGGCCAACATACCTTTGTAATAATTATTACATGGGAAAATCAGGCATACAGGCTAATGGTATGACCAAAAATGTTTTCTTCCCTAAGTACTGAGTAAGCCAGCTAACAGAGATACTCAGTAGATTTTAGAGTTTCTTTGAGACACGGGAGGGGAGACTGAGAAACAAACTATAAACAAAACAGTACAAGACCGAACAACAGGCTATCTGAACTCTCCATAAGTTCCTGATCTGTACTAAGCAGAGTTTTCCTGAGCTTACTAGAGTCATTGCAAAGGTTCCTAATGACTTCAGCATACTTTGGATCATATGCTATGGTCACACATTCCTTCTGAATCAGACAGAACTGCTCTCTCTGTTATCTGACAATACTTAACAGATTGAGAGCAACCCTGAGGAGGACTTGGAAGTGTTGGTTGATGAGAAGCTCAACATGGCTTGCAGCCCAGAAAGCCAACCATATCCTGGGCTGCATGAAAAGAAGCATGGCCAGCAGGTCAAGGGAGGTGATTCTGCCCCTCTACTCTGCTCTCATGAGACCCCACCAGGAATACTGCGTTCAGCTCTGGAGTTCCCAACACAAGAAGGACATGGACCTGTTGGAGCAAGTCCAGAAGAGGACCACGAAGATGATCCGAGGGCTGGAGCACCTCTGCTATGAAGACAGGCCGAGGGAGTTGGGATTGTTCAGCCTGGAGTAGAGACGGCTCCGGGGTGACCTTATAGCAGCTTTCCAGTACCTAAAGGGGGCCTACAGGAAAGCTGGAGAGGGACTTTTTACAAGGGCATGTAGTGACAGGACAAGGGGTAATGGATGTAAACTGAAAGAAGGTAAATTTTTATTAAATCTGAGGAAGAAAATCTTCACTCTGAGGGTGGTGAGGCACTGGAACAGGTTGCCCAGAGAAGTTGCGGATGCCCCATCCCTGGAAGTGTTCAAGGCCAGGCTGGATGAGGCTTTGAGCAATCTGATCTTGTGGAAGATGTCCCTGCCTGTGCCAGGGGGATTGGAACTAGATGATCTTTAAGGTTCCTTCCTACTCAAACCATTTATGATTCTATGATTTGCTCTTCTAAGACTAGTGTGATGCCCCACTCTTTTTAAACTTCAAAAAACGAAACCTGGCTTACCTGTCATACCGTGCGTTTAGAGGAGACTGTCCACCATTACATTTAGGACTGCTTCTAGAAATAGTACTTCCTGGTGAGGTGTTTGCTAACCGCTGTGACAGATACACAAAAAATGCATAATAAGTTTGATGAACACAATGTAAGCTTCTAGATTTGTCATGATAAAAGTGTGCAACATCAAAATTACTACTGTGTATTTTTATATATATTCAACTACTTATTTGTAATTAAACCTAATGCTTTATATAGGGCTGGGTGTCAAAGGGTCCATTACATACAGAATTTAGGCTCCACTGTTGCTTTAATACTGAACTTGCTAACCATACTCAACCACAAAAGACAATGGAAATTCCAAGAAGATGATTTCCTTCACTGCACCTCAAGACTTTGAAATGCTAAACTTTGAAAAATAATATTTAGAAAAATGGCATGTTGACTACTAGAGTGAAAAGGGAATTGTCAGTGGCTGAGCAAGTTTCAATAGACATCCATCCTTGGTTCTTGAGTGAGATACTGGAGAGAAGGAGAGGTCTCAACTGATAGCACATGATGAGAGTATTTTGTATGTTCTGCTGTCCCTGTACACATTTATGAACTGGGAACAGTTTCCTCTGTCTTCTCTGTAATCTGTCACTCTTGCTTATGTTTCAGTGCATGGCACAAGGAAATGGTGTCTTGTTGCATCTGCAGTGAATCTCTGGTAGCCAGTATCAGAAAAAGCTACTCACATTCATTGGTATGATATGCTGGAAACAGGTAATGACCTCTATTTTCCTCCTTCCTGGCCAATATTGTCTCTGTGGACCCATTATTCTGGCTCCATCCTTCTAAACAGTTAGTTGCTTTCCTGATGGTGTAAGGGCTTGCCCAAACAGGTTTCTCAATATTGCAAAATGGCAGCGTAGACTTTTTTTAACTCTTCAGTTGTCCTTCCTCTGGTTTTGAGGATGTCAGGTTACACCTGTTACAACAGATCCTCGTACAACTGTGACAGGCCAAAAGGGTCTGACTAAGGTCCCTATTCTCACCAGTCCCTAGTACTCATTTTCCCAATGACTTGCCCAGTCAAAAGTTCAAATTAGGTTAAGGCCTTGCTACTAAAAGAAAGCAGTTTTCTGAAAAAGTGTATTTTCAGTGGTAGAACACTCCCATATTCCCTTCAGTGCAAGAGAAACTGCTGATTTATTCACTTTGTCAGACACACTTGGCCACAGCATATTGAAAAAACCTCTGTCTTCCAAAGCACCACAGAAAGTAGTTGTGCTCTAACAAAACTCCATTGTTTCAAAAAACATAAGTGAAATCTGACAAAATTCAACTACACAAGCGTATTCCCAGAGCGAGCCCACTGAATAAAACTCAATTTTCTGAGTAGCCGCTGAAGTTCAAACAAATTTACATCTGCTGCTGCATTAATTCTTAAACCTTCTAGTACAACATAAAAAAATTACAAACACATACCAATGATCTGTTGTACTTGCTGAAACTGTTTTCAAGTGCAGTCCTTAAACCATCATTGCTGTCATGTAGCTTCCTATTAGCTGATCTAACAAGGAAACACAGTTTAATTTGCAAGAGTAGAGTAAAGAAAACATTAAAATCACAAGGGAAAATTCAAAAAGTACATATCAAAAAAGCCTTTTCTTTTTCTTTAGACGAACACTAAAGAGTGATGTGGGACTAGAAACATGTGTGTACTTAAACAAATGATTGTATGTGAAAAAAGCACTGTGAAGTTTAGCCTCCAGGAGCCACCTAGGAAACCCTGGCTTCACTTCTGTGGCACTGTGGGTGGTCAGCTGAGAGGAAAAAGACACTGTAGAAATGACTGCAAAAAAAAAAACCAGATATGGGGCAGTAAATTGGCATAGCCATTTCTGAAATACAAAGTGACTACTAAATATATTAATAACAAAAGGAGGGCTAAAGATCACCTCCAGCCCCTACTGGACTCAGGGGGTACGTTAGTCACTAGGGATGAGGACAAGGCGGAGGTCCTTAATGCCTTCTTTGCCTCAGTCTTTAATAATAAGGTCAGCAGTTCCCAGGTGAGCTGGCCTTTGGTGTCTGAGAGCAGGGAGGGAGAGCAAATTGAAGCTCCTGTGATCCTAGAGGAACGGGTCAAGGATCTGCTCCTTCGGCTGGATGCCCACAAGTCTATGGGGCCTGATGGTATCCACCCGAGAGTCCTGAGAGAGCTGGCGGATGTCATTGCCAAACCCCTGTCCATTATCTTTGGGCAGTCTTGGCTCACTGGGGAAGTTCTGCTGGACTGGAGGCTGGCGGATGTTACCCCCATTTACAAAAAAGGGCGGAAGGGGGATCTGGGGAACTACAGGCCTGTCAGCTTG